GCAGGGATCTGTTCTGGATGGACATGCATTGATCTTGAGATTCTGTGAAAGCAAGCGGATCCTGAGAACCTGTGAAAACAAGTGGAGTGGCATGGCTGGGAAAGGTTCAGACAAGGATAATCCTTGTACAAAGTTACATGTGAAAAATGTAGCTTTTGAGGCAACCAAGAAGGAACTAAGACAGCTTTTCAGTCCATTTGGACAGGTAATAGTGCAGTTGCTGAAGTTTTGGTCTTTATTCGTGTTTCGTTTAAGATGTTTTTGTTAGAAGAACAACAAGGGGATGAAGCTTTATTGTATTGGAACAAATAGAAGTTGTGTGTGCAACGTAATGTTTCTGGTTTATGCATTGTGGAAACTTAAAGTTAAGGCTCCTGGAAAGTTAAAGTTGATTGGACTCTACATTTTTTTGGTTTTTTTTGTTTGTTGCAGGGATCTGTTGTGGATGGGCATGCATTGATTTTGAGATTCTCTGGAAACGAGCGGAGTGACACGGCTGGGAAAGGTTCAGACAAGGATAAACCCTGTACAAAGTTGAATGTGAAAACACTTTCCGATAACAATGAAAGGAAGAGTGATGTTGGAGAAAATGTTGAGAGAAGAGCCAACTCGGAGCAGCAGTCTGAAATCGATCTGGATATAACTGAGGTTTGTCAAGCCAGACACAGTTTGTGTCTCCCTTTATATCTGTGAAATTTCTTTAGGAGTCAACTAGCTATATTTCTGGGAACATCGTTGAATCAGGGAATCGATATAGGGGTTAGCTTCTTTTTCTTTTCATAACTTGCTCCTTTGTGAATATCTCGATCAGTCTATGGGTTGGATTGGTCTGGTATAAATGATTTTAAATTGGGATGAATCATTTCTTGTTCCTTTGTGAATATCTCGATCGGTCTCTGCTTATTATATTTATGTGCAATAATATTTGTTTATTGATTTTGCAGTCGTTGCCTTCTCCAAGTCTTCCAGTGAGCGTGGAGTTCTTTGAATGGCGCAACACTGTGGTCAGCTCTGTTTTCCACTGCTCTTGTGGTAAAATGTTCCAAGTTCGTGTATATTCGCACAAGATGTATTTATTTCGTACGGAAAGAGGTTGTGCCGCTCCGCAGATGAACGTGGAATGGGTCAGAGGTGGTCAGATTTCCATTGAGTGCATGTGCTCCCTTTGCAACACTGGCGTTCGCTTCACCGGTCAAGGTCGCACTGGACAGTTTGTAATTATTCCCTAGTTAATGGGAAAAGGTCATTTATGTGTAGTTTTTCATTTAGGAGGTTTAACTATTGCATTTATGTTTTATCACTTTTGGTGTAATGCTTTTATTAAGACTCTAATTGAATTTCTTCCTGTTTGCCATCGTTGGGTTTGATTGTTGGATCGAAATTAAGGACAGTCCACATTTTCAGTGTTGGAGAGAGCGAACTTCCGGGAATCCGTGAGATCTGTTCAATGTTAGACAATCTAGTAATCGAATTGAGGAAGTTTGGATATTATCCAAGCTTAGAACGAGCTGCACGATGTAGAGGAAAGGAAGAAAGAGGAGCTTTCGATGCAGCACAGTGAGAAGCTGGCTTTTGGTTTTTGGCTTAAATGTGTTTGCCAGAAGATTCTACTGTGAGGATCATGAAGAACCTGAGGATATGTTTGGAGTAACATGAGTTCATGAAAGCTGCATCAATGGCTACAAAAAGACTTATCATTGTTAGAGATGCTAATAGGTTTCACCATTTCAGTGATGGTCATTGTTCTGTGGGGAATTTTGGTGACAAACTTTGTTTTGAGGACACATCAATTTAGTTTTGTGAGGGAAGAATAAATATATATATTTTTTTTTTTTGGGGTCAAAAGCATAGATTTTATTCCATATTTTACGTCGAAATCGTAGACAAGTTACAAGTTAAAAGAGCTCGTTTCGCTAACGAATCCGCCAACATATTGGCATTCCATGGAACAAAAGAAAAAGACAGCTTCCTAAAGTGAGAAGCTATTATGTTTGTGGATTTCCGTATTCGTCTCCTGCTTATGTATCAAGTTAATTTAAACATGTGCATCAGCGCATACGTGTAAGCTCTCCACCCCTTTTTCTCTAGCCTTTTTGAGGGCCTTGATAATCGCCCATGTTTCGGCTGTTAGAGCCGAGTAAACATTAGGAATTGGTTCGGAATATTCATCCAAGGCGTGCTCTATTTCAAGCTTGAAATGCCATCCTAAACCTGCGTGTGCTTTATCTTTATCCCATGTTGCGTCCGTAAAGCATATAGATCTATCACCTTGCACACTCTCAAATCAAGACTCTACATGTTTTGCAACAAGGAGCAGCAAGAGTAAAGCAAATAAACATAGTATAAATCGTTCATCTACAAAGCGTAAGGGATTAGATCTCATCTCTTTGCAATAGGGCAAAGTCGAACTACCCTTAAAGGCTTTTATAATCAAATATGCATTAAGAACAAGAGATAAACGAAATACATGTTTAGATATTGATTTAGGCTGTTTTGGCCAGCTGCTCTTACTTCCTAGAGAGGCTATAAGTATGTATATATAGGGGTTTAAGAGGTCATAAGTCGGCTAGGGTAATCTTTGGGCAAAAAAGTCTTTTACGTCGAAGCTGAGGCTACATCGATCACAATATCGGTCGGGTTGCATGACCGATATTTTAGGCTTCCATGACTCTTCTAGAGGGTCGGAAAGATTCTGGATCATCGGCCCACGGAGCGGCCCGATGCTTGGCTCATTTCTGCACATACTTCACTTCTAAGAAAGTTTGACATGTCTTCATTGTATCTTCTAAAGTACAGCTCCAATTGATGTAATTACAACCCCATTGGCAAGCTAACTCAAAGAGCTATCTTCCCACAAAGTTTCATTAGATTCCAAGTTGATTTGGTTCTCCATTCATCAGTGAACATCTGACATATACGTTCTGTCCAACTTGAGAATATGCTTTGTNTTCAAGATATAATGACTTGGTTTATCTCATTTGACTTGAATAAGTAGTTGTATCATAGATAACTGATAAAAGAGTTTTTGCCCAGTCAAATATTTCAAACCTAGAATTACTAATC